ATGGATCCTTTTGGTTCGCCACCCAATTATTATACTCTATAATAATAGAGTCTCGATCCCTTTTCAAGGTTGCAATATCTCCGTTCGTCCAAGGAATGTCATCAACAGGTATTTGATATACCTTATGATTCAATCGTCCATTTCCACATCCTTGACAAGTCCTCTTATCACGAATAACATAAAATCGGGAGTCGGTCTTCCAAAACGCCGGATGCTGATCCATGGTAACCGATTTGCATTTGGAACACTGAACCTCGATCGCTTGGCTTATATCTTCAGAAATAATCAAGTACGCATCGGTAGCCATCGTTCGTTCTGTGCCCCTGTCTTTTCGTAGCTTGGGATCTGATTTTCGATAATCCCTATAATTATTATAGTTTTGAACTAGCTAAAAGGCATTAAACAAAAATCTAAAACAAAACAAATTTATAAAGCTGCGATTATAATATTACGTAAATAAATATAAGTAATAAATGCTAAGATTATAAGAATAGGATATAGAGAGAACTTTAAAAAAAGAGAAAAAAAAAAAAGAATAAATATAAGGAAAAATAAACAAAGAATGAAAAAGAGATGAATACGATTTATACACGTACTTGTATTTAATTGAGACCCCGGCTGCTTCCTTTACCTCTCGTTGTTTACTCGACTCCAAGCTACTCCAAACAAAATACCCTTCTTGCTTCTCCGTTCGACTAACTTTGGCTAATTGACTAGCCGTTTTCAACCTTGAATCCATAATTTGAGCCTCGTTTATACCACTATTGTGCATAAAGAACTGAGGATGATTGACGAAAATAACGATCCTTTCCAAGGCCGATTTTGATAGGTCGGTGAATTGAAGATATAATGGAGTTTCAAAGATATCCCAGAGAGAGAATTCTTCAATAACAGGGCCAAATTGTGTTAGAAGGTGTCGTTTATTTGGTTTTCCGAAGCAGATTTCAATTTTGGCGGCATATTTGATCGCAAAAGATCTTGCCAGCGATGGTGTGACTTCAAGATAGTTGCTGAATATGATTTATCCGGATCAAACACTGAGTCTTCTCTCCATGGGTGGGTGTTCCACCAGAATGAATTTTGGGAATTGAACCCAGCATTAATGACCCTATTAGGGCAGCCAGAAGAAGGATCTGCGATTTCACCGTTGTAAAGATAACTGGTTTTGCGACTAGGGTAATGCAAATGAATTGCAACAGGAGCGTTAATGGACCCGGAAGGGCGAACAAGAAGTCGAGGATCACGCGTTCCTTCTCTAGTCCAAAGACTACATTCAGCAGCTTTGAAATCCTTCCATTTTGTAACAAGGTCGAAATCGGCATTTTGAAATACTAGTGAGTCGAATAAATCTAAGATCTAATAGAATTAATTAGTTTACTATTATTATTATACCAAAAAAACATAATAATAATAAAAACTAATAAATATTAAAACTTAAATTATAAAATAATTTTTAAATTAAATATCTTTTATTATTTCTAAAAAAAAAAAACGAAGTAGAAAGTAAATAAAAGAAAAAGATAAATTATTTCTTTTAATTCCATATACAGAAAAAGAGTAAATTATTTAAAGAGAGACCTATAAATAATGTGTAGAAATAAGCGAGCAATAGTCGAGATAGGACGAAAGAATACAAAAGCGAAATCAGTACCGAGGTAGCAATTGGCTCTAACGGCTATATAAATAATCGACAAGGTTCATCAATTGATAGGGGCGATATTGAGGCTCACAAAATGGCTGGAGATGCTGAAAGCACGCGATTGAGGACAAGCAAGCATAGGTAGACAAGCAATAAATCAAACGAAATATCAATTCAGACTACTAGCACTGCTGAGCGAGCAAAATAAAAATGTCGGCAAACAGTACTGAATATTAGATAGTACGAAGATAATAAAAGCACGTACAGGACGAAGTTCTTCCAGACGGCGAAGTCTGGTATCCGAAAGCATGCCAGCCGGCTCGGGAAGGTATAGGTCGCCGAAGAAATGGTAGGTCGAGGGAAGGAGAGGTGCGGTAGGAGCTGTAGAAGTAGCAGGAGGGGAAATAGAGGAAGGAGAGACAGAAGCAGCTGGTGACGAAAACATATTGCTGAGAGAAATTAGTAACGTCAACTCTATACAGCACGGCACTGCATGCTGAAATGGCATGTATATTAACTCACAGGGCAGAGAGAAGACTTAAACAATAGGCAGAAGACGTAAAAGTAGAGTTTAGAACTCTATAGGATGCTAATTCCGACAGACATGACATGGGGATCAAGAACGCTGGATAGAATAGGGACGACAACGTTCGGAAGAAAAAGACCCACATTCAAAAATATTGGTTTACAAGCGAGGTACTAAACAAGCAGAAGAGAACGACAAACAGCAAGCTTTCTAATCGTTGACTTCTTCTTGAGAATACTCAAACGCCTACGCTCTTCTACCATTTTCCTTCCGCGGACCATGGCAACAGCCACAACTTCTCCTGAGTTGCTGTTGACACGCGTCGGTTGGTCCTGTATACCATATTTTCTGTGCCCAACACCTATCCTAAACAATACAAACCACCCCTCACCTATCAAATATAGCATCGAGGTCCACAAATATCCTTCCGCTTAGCACCAGCAGCTTCTAAAGTTTCTCCTACGGCATCCAGCTTGCATTGTGCCTCGATGGGAGTAGGCGCGAGCGACGCGTCTACTGTGGGATTCAAGCACCAATCTTGTCCGACAACCCTTATGCAATCCCAAGGAAGTGCAGCCCAGAGCTACAGACAACGCTAACCTTAGTGCGAAAGCAGATATTCACCGTTTCAAACTCAGCCAGTCGATTCTACGAAGACTGTAATGCAGCTAGCCACTGGACAGATTTGCAAGACAAACCTCGAATACCCACCTGAAGGCAGCGATCGCATCGTGACAGGGCACAAAACAAGCTCTCGGGAAGCGAGGCATTTCAAGGAAGAGGAATCAAGCCATTGAGCGAAGTGCGATCAGGGTCTCCTTGCCAATCAGAGGGCATGATGCTTTGCAGAGGCGCGCTAGCTCGGCGTCATAGGGTGTTTACATACATACCAACGCGCATGACGGAGAAGAGCGAAATCTCATTACACGCGGAGTTTCAAACAGCGGAGATCCGCGCCAGGAGCTCTACCTGAAAGGAAGACAAATGTGGAGGGATGGGGATACAGAGAACCGCGCGCTGGACTTCCGACTTGGTGATATTGCATACCTCTAACGCTTCTGAATGTTCGGTCTATAGTGATCAAGCTGCCTTCCGCCTTAGAAGAAGCGATAGCAGGTTGATTAGGGGGAAGAACAAAAGTATATCAATCATGCGCCACACTGAACCGTCTCCGTGCCCATCATTTCTGTAGAATAGCCCCAATAGCTACTATGAACTGATATTTCGGAAACAATTTGGCCATATGCACATCACGAACATCTTGTTTCGTGGTTTCTATACTGTGTCCCAGGTATTCCGTTTAATTTGTACAAACAAGTATATGATATTGCAGCTCGAAGAGACCCGCAGCGACTTATCTCGAGTATCAGCAATTGAAAGAATGCTTGAAGGCATCATTGTCAAACGTAAGTTTAAAGGCAAAAATAAAAATAAACTAGTACGCATTACTGCAAAGGAAATTGTTCTCCGGATAAAGATACTGAGCAACCATAAAATCTAGCATGAAGTCAGCTCGTGCTTGAACATTATTTCCAGCCTTGAGAGCAGAGGTTATGTATTTGCGGTCAGCTGGGGCTGCAGAGCTTTGGTCAGGCTAAGGCTAGTCATACAAATTTACAATTTTCTTTCCATGTCCGACTGCCACGTCAGAGAGAATCGGAAGGTGTGCAGCTGCGGCAAGACGAACCCCCTTCAGCTGAAGAGATTTCAGTCCACATGCCTAGCAGCTAATAGTGAGAGTCGTATTATATTATTCTCAAGCTTGAAAATTTAGGCAGATGCTTCCAACTTAGGTTGACCGGGCGACGACGGGCCTGGGTGGGTAAATACCTCAAAAAGTTCCCTTTCTCCTATCTTTTCTTATCCGATCCAATTAAAGCAGCGCTAAACTGGATAACAGGATAATGCTATGCTTGACTTATGTATTATGTTGGAAGTTGGCTGGTCTAGCCAGCCTTGGCAAGATTTTTCTTTCGCTTTGAGCAAAAGGCGGAGCTGGGAAGCAGCAGGTCCGTATGTCTAGAGATCATTATTGACCTTAAACTTGATAGCAAAGCGGCAGTGAATCCGGCAGATTGGGAGGGCTTTGGTATCCGTAATACGCATCGACCAAATAAAACCGGCTTGGATTTCAAGTATTATGCCGCTGTCGTCCTTCCTCAGAACCCATTCTTTCGCATATACCGAAAGCGTCAAGTTTAGGTTATTGTATTTATGTTACATCGTATAACGAACCAGAATAACAAATAGAAGCTTGATAGTGTAATTGAGAAGTCAGATATGAGGGGGCTCGAATGCCGTGCGGCTTCTAGTTGCCAGTCTTCTGAAGCTTTCGACATGCGAATCGGCTCGGGTTTGGGGAGAAAGGGAGCAGAATCTTGGGCCTGTCGATGCAGGGATCAGAGAATTGATGTTCTTCGAGATGGTGGTGGTGCTAGGCTGCTGATGGCTGGTATTTGACCTCTTTTGGTAAGCAGCCGTTTGTGCAATACAATTGGGGATTGCGCCTATCAGAAATTAAACCAATGAACGAAATTGTATCCTATAAACACAATAGTGTCATAGGATAGATAATCGATTAGATCCAGCGGTCACTCATAGGATTGGAGTCGTAAATTTCATTCCGAATAATATCAATAAGCACGGAATGATGTGCGAGATCATCTTGCCTCGGTAAATAGGGTTATTGGCAATCCACAGTTCGCCTAAATTGTGGGATTCTTTTCGCTAAAAAAATTTGCACAAAAAAAGGGAAGAAAGTAGTAAAACAAGCCGCAAGCAAGCTGAATAAATAGAAAACATAAGAAAAGAGTAAAAATATAAAAAAGAATTAGCGGGCTTGACTGGGGATTGAACCCAGGACCTATTTTCTTGTTAGAATTGGAATCTGGAACAGATGCGCTATTATCTTACCTCATACAATTAAGCTATACCCAAAGCATGAATTCTGCCACTGAACTATCAAGCCGCTTTGATACTCAAGAAATGCTTATTAAAATCTATACATGTGTGCGAAAGTGTGGAAGCCCCACTTTCAGATCTTGGAAGGATCAAGCGGCCGTCGCCTATTTGCACCATTTCGTGCTAGTAAAAAGCTATTGTCAATCACCTTACGGAGGTCGCGGTCAAAAGTATGGAGACATTAGGGCCTTCCCCGCTATAATACGCTATAACCTCAGCGCATATCCACTGTAAGGCCCTATAATTACAGGCATTAGTGCCCGAAAGGTAATTTGCACTGCTATTGGATCAAAGTAAAAGTTCAGGGTAGAGCCCCTGTATTTTGGGGCTTATTCTACTTAATCGAGCCTGTAGATAAGCGTCCAAGCCCTGTGGTTACCCTGCCAGCACCCTTCCGGTGGCACAGCCTGTAAATTATGAAAATGCCCTGATGTCTCCATACTTTTGACCGCGACCTCCGTAGGCTGCGCATAGTTTGCCGGAAATTTCCCGTTTCCTGACACCCTCCAAATTCCTCAAAAGCAGAGCAAAAAAGTAGCTCTGCGCGCAACCAACAGACAGCGGTTTATGGGACTGGCCCCCGGTTCTCACTGAGCTCACTCATAATAGAGACGGTAATTTCAGACGGAATCAACGCACTCAGCCAAGAGATGGATTTGTTCTTAGCTTTCTGGCTCGTCGTCATTATCTAGCCTCTGTATAAGGATCTGCCCTGGCCATCCGTTGATCTCAAAAGTCTCCATCCGCTCGAATCCTTGAGACTCGTAATACCGAACCAGGCCCCCACTACCACCAGCATAACAATCGACTCGAAGTAGAGACACGCCGGCCTTGCGAGCCAGTGTGCGCGCTTGCTCCAGCAAAAGAGTGCCGATTCCTTTGCCGCTAGAAGCTCGGTCCGACGCGAGGAACTGAATGTATAGCTCCGGTTCGGTCGCTGGCTGAACGTATGAATTCGCTTGGCCAACTGTCAAGGCACCGACGATGCCATTAATGATAGAAAGCTCCTCGTCTTCTCTTCTAGGCTTGTCTGTGGACTGGGCTGGGCTTTCTATTTCACCACCAGACGAATTTTCTGTCCTCGAGGACGACGAGTTAGTGTCTACCGCAATCCACGTCCCTCCCGATTCCGCCTTCTCTGTTGCCTGCTTGATCCTGGCGGGATTATTTGAAGGTCTTTTGGTGCCCCATTGTCCAGTTTGCCCTTTCTTTACAAGCCAAGCCGTTGCGATGTCCATGAGCCTTAGCATGGCAGGGACATCCTCAATAGTTCCTGGACGCAATATCACGCCATCTATAACACCTTTTCGGGGAACGCTTCTACAAAAAAAGTGAGTTCTCGTCATTTGTTTTCGAAAGGTAGTCTGTTGGCTGGAATACCCTGGGGACATGATGTGTATACTAGTAATCGAATGATGACTTGATTCCTTTACCGTACCGTGGCGATGGTGATGTGGAAGGAGACGAGAGACGAGAGACAGCGCTCTAACGCCTGGGCACCAGCATGCTACGTCATACTTGCCAAGCTTCCGAATGGTGGCTACCTAGTGTACATCTATGAGCACTAAATGTCGCTAAAATATGTGGCCGTCCGCACTAGGTGGTTTATATAGCGCTGTGAATATAGTCTCTAAAAAGATCACTTTGCTTGCACAAAGATCGAGCAGAGAATTTGAATTTCTTTGGTCTCATCGCCATATTTGATCAAAGTCCTAATGAGCTTAGTTATGTGCTATGTTTCGCAACCCATGAATCGGACGAGATTGCTCAATTATACTTTATAGAGCTGATACAGTCGAGGCCAATACTTAATCTTGTACTTATGCTAATATGCTTGCTTTTCTGTATTTTACACCGCTTCATTACATACATCGATAAAGTGGCCATGTCCGACCACTTGACTAGGCTCGTTTTGGTGGTAGTGCATCTGCTAGAATCTAGCCAAATCTACCTAGGCATTGAGTATCCCGACACTAGAAGCTTTTCGCAAATCGGAGATGTTTCGTCTCATAGAATGTACAAGGCAGATTTTACAAAACCCCTTGCAGTGGGTTCTTTCATAAGGAGTCTAATCTAGTCCTTCAAATAGCCATCGCCAATTCGACCTGAATCGTCATCACATCAATATCTCAAGTTTTCAGTTTATATATTTAGCAGCTCGTTGACCACCCTTGCAGAGAAGGATTCATACCAGACCAAGAACTAAACCGGACGAGACAAGAATTGTGGTTCAACTGGTTCCAACAGCCCAGCTCGTTCAACCTTGGTCAGTTCGGGAGCATAATCCACGATAAAATACCATCGAGTTTTTGCTGTGTTTACACGGTTCTGATTATTGCACTTAGGCAGCAGCGTTGCAGAGTAGAACGTGCGGGTGACGGATACGCTTTCATGACTCGAAATTATATACACTCTCCCACTCTCAGTCAGCAGAGTCGCTCCTCTCTAAGTCTTCTGGGCGCTATCGCCGCAACTCCCTCCCGAGACTCAAGAGTATCGCACCCGGATGCATTCATTCATCATCTCGAAAGCTCTTGCATGTTTGCCCATATTCCTCAACGTGCGAGCAAGATCTTGCATACTCTCAAGCGTGTCTTGATGCTCTTGCCCCAGCTTTTGTTTTTTTATATCTAACACCTGGATATATATCTTTTCAGCTTCTTCAAATCGTCCTTGTTTATTCAACATTATCGCTAAATTTCCCATGCTGCCTAGCGTGTGTGGATGATCTTGCCCTAACGTCTGTTTCTGCGCATCTAACACTTGTATATATAGCTTTTCAGCTTCCTCAAATCGTTCTTGTTTTTCCCAGACTGTCGCCAAATTGTGCATGCTCCCTAGTGTGTCTGGATGCTTTTGCCCTAAGACCCTCTTTCTTGTCTCTAAGACTTGCGAGTGAAGTTCTTCGGCTTCTTTGCATTTCTCTTGTTTTTCATACATTACCGCTAGATTATTTATACTTCGTAGTGTATCTGGGTGATCTTGTCCTATGATCCTCTTCCTAGCCTCTACCACATGTAGGTGAAGTTCTTCGGCCTTTTTCAATTTACCTTGCCTGCCCCATAACATCGCCAAATTATTTTCACTCTCTAACGTACCTGGACTCTCTTGCCCCAAGACTCTCTTTTTAGCCTCTAACACTTGCAGATAAAGTTCTTCGGCTTCTTTCAATTTACCTTGCCTGTCCCATAATATCGCTAAATTAGTTTTGCTCTCCAACGTGCCTCGCCACTCTCGCCCTGGGACTCCCTTCCTAGCATTTTCCACTTACAGGAAAAGTTCTTCAGCCTCCTTCCATTTTCCTTGTTGTTCATACGTTACCGCTAGATTATTCATGCTCGCTAGTATGTTTATGTGCTCTTGTCCTAATACCCTCTTTTCCGTTTCTAACACTTGTAGACCCAGCTTAGCAGCATCTTCGAACCGCCCTTGCTTGTTATAGATCCATGCTAACTGAGTCATGCTGTCTAACGTGTGTTCGTGTTCCAGGCCTAATGCACTTTGTCGGGACGGCACCACTTCCTCAAACAAGGTTTCTGCCTCTTTGAATCTTCCTTCTCGACAGAGACACTTTCCGAATTTGTTTGCTAGATCGGCCCTATGTTCTACAGATCTATCCGTGGGGTTTCGGGCCGGAGCATGATTATCCTTGGGCTCAGAATCCAGCGCATAACGCGCATGCACTAAGTATTTCCTCCACACGCTTCTGTTCTTGTGATCGTTGGTTGGGAAAACATCCGCCAATCGTGCAATCGCCCTTTCGCTGTACTGAGAGAGCTTTTCCTCTTTTCGGAGCCAGCTTCGTGTCGCAAGATGGACCAGTCGATGCACATCTAAGGCCAAATCTTCCGACCGTTTTGTTATGAATGAGTAGGCCTCCAGTGTCCCGATTGCGAGAGTTTCCTTGTTCCGAGAAAGTCCGGGGGGGAGTAGCGATAGTGGTACATCCTTTGGGTCCACGCACGCGACGAAGGATAAGTATTCAGCTGCTAGTGAGTCCTGGAGTCGAATGTGTTCGAATGATATCAAGAATGTCGTGGCTATAGGGTTCTTTATGTCCGGGTATCTCGCCTCATCCTCGAACTCCTCACTTGGGAGTTCGACCACATGCTCCTCCTGCTTCGCTAAAAGAGATAAATACTGTTGGGTTGAAATGTTATTCTCGTTGATGTACGATGCCGCTTGAACTATTGCTAGTGGAAGGTTGGTGAGTTGAATAAGGAGCTTTTTAACATCTGACTCGTGTTCGACAAGGTCCTGTTCAGGAAGGTACTTCTGGAGTAACTCCATGGCGATGTTTTCATCCATGGCCGCTACTTCAACTACCCTTTCCTTCCGCTGGGTAAGTTTGATGGCTACCTTCCTGTCGCGTGTCGTGAAGACAATGCACCCGGTCTCATTCTTCGGAAGGTATTCGACCAAACGGCCGGATTGCTGTTCAGAACCAGGAGTATCTATCCACATGTTGAGGTCATCGGCATTATCGTACACCAGAAGCCACTGGCCGGCATCATCTTTGCTCAAGTATTCTTGCACAAGTCTCTTCACGTCCGTCTTCTTTTGCTCCCAACCAGGTACTCCAAGTTGTTTCGCGACTTCTCGACATGCTTTCTCGAGACTTTCCAGGTTAGTCGCAGGAAGCCAGATAATGGAACAATTCTCGTGTTTTGCTTTGGTCCGATGGACGAGCTCGAGCAATATTGTCTTGCCTACACCTCCGAGCCCGGTGATTGCAATTTTTGTGGATCGATCCTCTGTGAAGAGCATTCCATCGAGTTGAGCAAGTTCGGATTCGCGCCCAGTGAAGCGAGGATTCTTTTCAAAAGGCACGATCCAATGTGCTTTGCGTACGACTTCATACCAATAAGCTTTGGTAAAAGAGAGGGGAGCGTGCCATACCTGTTTGTTGCTGGATCATGAACACATTGTATTCTTACCCCAGGTAAGTACGGATCAAATAACGAGATGCTCCACCGTATCACCTACGTTCACAAGTGCAGCAAGCGA